ACCTCCTCTCTAAAAGAGTAACCGAACAAAGAGGGAGCTCCTTGTAAGGAGGCTCTTTACCTTGGGTACTGAAGTTCAATTGTTTAGAAAACAAGGTGTTCTCTTCACTTTCTCAAGCAAAGCAGACATATTCTACTTGTCTGAGTGCTTAATTTTAATTAAAATAACTTCAAAAATATGAAATCAAGATTTATCTCCAGTAAAACTTATTAAACACAAAGTAACTCCTTCAACTTTATACATTTTTGACTATGTTAACTATAAGCACTGTGTTAACCATATTTTTGATTAATAAGGTTAATTCGTAAAATCAGTGTAATTCGAAAGGCCTTAGCTTCCACTAAAAACTAGACCCAAATATTTTTTCCGACATCCCTCTGGTTAAGTCTATTTAATTCATTTGAAATTATTCATCTTTCACACAATTTTAACTAACTTTATCAATGAAAATGGTAATGATTTATTACATTACCTGTGTATATAACTTTTTGATCCCGGCATTCAAAAAGAGACCTTTTCCTGTGCTTGTGTGTTTTTTCCCGAAATCTTACTGTTATCGCTACATTTGGATTACCGGCATTGTAACTGAGTTCAGGGAAAGATTTGGTTTCCACAAGGTTTCCAAACTTTTTGTTGACAAAATGGTGGACAGCTTTTCTGTGGTCTTTGTTTGTGTCAGGTTTAAAGGTAAATTTGGAATTTTCTTTCTTTGCATCCAAATATTTAAAAAAGTCAAATGCTTCTTCTTCAGATACCAAGTGACAGAGTTCCTTATACTCAAGATTTGGTTTTACAACAATCTCACTGTTTTTACCAACAGTTATTAAAAAGGGGAATTTCTGCCTAACAGCACTATGCAAAATAGCCCTCTGGTTTTTGTCAAGGATTCTGCCTAATGAGAATTCAGGAGATGATCCAATTAGCTCAGTTTTAGAATTCCACTTCTCTTTTATATCACAGGCAAAGTGATTCAGTAATTCGTTAGTTTTTTCATCTAACAAGTTGCCTAAAACATCAACTTTTTCTTCTTTGCCTTTGGAAGTTCCATCATTTTTTTCCATCACTTCTTTTTCTGAAGCAGACTCATCAGTCTTGATGTCAGTCAGATTTTGGTCATCATAAGAGCACCCAGTGACAATATTGACTTCTTGGTTGCTTCCCTCTTTAAAGGATAAATTTTGAAAATCAAGTTTTGTTTTTTTGGCAAAATTATTTGGCTCATGTAGTACTTTACTGATCCATTCATTGGTGGCCTTATTAACTAACTGTCCCTGTTCATCAATCTCTGTAACAACAAAGTCACTTGGTGAGCTTTTTATAGTGCCATGAAATCCAACATGATCAGTAATGAAACACAAAGAACTAAACCTGACTCTAAAATCTGTATCCTCTTCCATTCTTAAATAAAAATGCCTACAAAAGAAAGAAAGAGGCAGTTACCAGAAAGAAAAGTTATGGATAACAAAAAAGAAATGTATTTGCAGGACTTATTTTTCTTTCTCCCTTTCAATCCTGAGCTCCCTTAAGAGACATTAGCAATTTATTTCTACATATCATGTGTATTTTGACCCTTCTATACCAAGATGAATTAACAGGCAATCTTTTCCAGTATAACTGATGATTTGCAACTTCACTCTTCACCCACTCCAAGCTTCTATCCATTATCCAGGATTAAAATGGATCAGTTTCAAGTTTACTTTAAAAAATACCACTTGTAGGCCCACAAAGAAAAGACCAGAACACAGGACTTAATGATTTGTCTAAATCCCATCCCTGAAAATTTCCAGCTAATTCCGGAGATTTTGTGGCTAGATTTTTATATATTAGCTGTTGGAGATGAGAGAAGGGACCAGAAGACAAGAAAAAATAGTCCAAATTGATAGATAAATGAAGTTCTAAAAACCAACCTGCAATTTGATTATGCTTCAAAATTAATTAATTTAACTTAAATTAATCCTGAACCTTAAACCTTCTTGAAAACCCAGTTATAAACTTTTACAGATACAAACTTTTGATGTTGACCCACAGGAAAATTCCAGCCATGCTACTGGCATCAGACAGAAAAAAAACTTTTCAGGTCTTCTTGAAGCAGTAGATAAGAGAATAATCCTCTGAAGAAGCCTTTATTCATTCTTCACACAGCCTATGGCTACCATACCAAACAGAGCTACATGAAAGACAAAATGCCCAGGGACCACATACTACTCACATATAACCACTCTCTAGGTAATTCATCATCATCTGAACCTTCATCCCATTTCTACAATGTATTCTACTAATCTGAACCAATTTAGTAAACTTCCCCCTGGATCATGCCACGTACAAATCACAGCAAAGTCTCTGTAGCCTAATTTCCTAGACTACATAAGGATATGTTTATTTCCTCCACTCCTTAATTTCCTGCACAGTCTCCTCAGTTTCTTGTCATAACTGAAACCTGGTTATTTCCCTTCGCTGATGCTTCTCTAGTCCTCTCAGTGAAGGCTATTTTTCCCTTCACACCCACCTAACTTAGGACCTGGAGGATGTAAATATGTTCTATTTGCCACTGCTCCAAACCATTTCTCCCTCCTCTACCTGCCCCAAATCCCAACTCCTTTGAGGTTCATGCAATCAGGCTTTACCATCTGCTGGCATCCTCTCTTTGGTCCCCAGAAGACTCCTCTTCATTCACTGATGATTTTAACACCTCCCTCAATGTCTTCCTACCCAGCATGACTTCCATGTCCATCTATATGCATCATCTACTTAAGACCACAGTCCCTCGATTCTTGATCTCAACCTCAACCCACTTCCATGCCATCTTGGTCATAACCTTGACTTTCTCATCACCAAAAATTACATCAACTTTAAGCATCTGGCTCTCTGATTACTCTTGCCGTCCTTCCATCATTTAGTACTCCCATCTTAGAAATTCTTATACATTGTGAAGGCCTCTAATCTGCTTCTACTTAACTAGTCCACTATTGTCCATTCTCCACATGGCCAGAATGATGATTTGAAAGGTAAATTAAATCATATCACAATCCTCTTTAAAACTGCTAATCACATTGATAATGAAATCCAAATTACTTACCCTGGCTTCCAAAGACTTCTAAGATTCTGGACTCTATCTATTCTCTAAATTTATCTTGTACCCTTTCCCCATTACCCACTATACTCCAACTACACTGGCCTTCTTCAATTCCTTTGTGTTAACTCTTCCCGCTGATTAGTCATTCCTCAATCACATCCTCATAGAGGTCATCCCTGACTAATAATGTAAAAGAACCAACAAGACACTCTCTTCCCCCAAACCCTACTCAACTTTCTGCACAGTATTTCTATCTAATAATTTTATTATTTATGGTATATCTCTCCCAACTAGAATCTTAGCTCTATGGGAGCAAGTGCCTTGTCTGCCCAATTCACTGATTACCTCACATTTAAAACAGTGTCGGGCGCCTGGGTGGCTCAGATGGTTAAGCGTCTGCCTTCGGCTCAGGTCATGATCCCAAGGTCCTGGGATCAAGTCCCGCATCAGGCTCCCTGCTCCTTGGGAGACTGCTTCTCCCTCTGCCTCTCTCTCTCTCTCTCTGTCTCTCATGAATAAATAAAAAGTTTTAAAAAAATAAAAAAATAAAACAGTGTCAAGCACATAGTAAGCATGCAATCAATACTGACTGAATAAATGAATAAATGAAACAACTACTACAAAATAAGAGCTCTAAGAGTAAAAAGGAAGAAAAAAGGGATCATTTTTGCCTATGATAATCAGAGAAAGCATAATACAAGAAGTGGCCATTTAAGTCCTCAAAACGATTCAAGACATTGAATAAGGTAGAGACATATCAAACAAAATATACAATGTGTTAGGGGAAATTGAACAGCCCAGACACAAGAGCAATAGGAGAAAAAGTTTTGTAGTACAGCTCTGTAAAATACAGCTCAGATTAGAGCCAAACTGCCAGACAGTGAATGCCCTACCAAGAACTTAGAATCCCTTGAGTGGTCAACATATAGCTACTGGAGGTGTTTGAGTAGAAAAATGACACAATCCAAAAAGATGTTTTAGTAAGATGAATGATGGCACTGATCAGATGAATGTGATGAAGAATTCCAAAAGTTGGAAAGCAATGTGATCAAGAGCAGTTTTAGGATTGTCCTTGTAAAGAATAATGATGTACTCTTTCCCCAGTAGAAGGAAGAAGATAGGAAGACATTCTACTACTGGGTTCGCTAGAACACCTTGGGAAGAACGTAATGTTCAGGGAATTACACCGAGCATCTTAGTAAAAGAGTGGAACTGAGCTGGACGGAGCCAAGGAGTCCACGTGGAGTTAAACACAAATAGGCAGTATTCCTAGACAGCAGATTTCTTGACAAGGGTACGGGGCGGAGAGGAGTGGGTGGTTTGGCTGACCCAAGGTTGGGGAATTGTTGGTTGAGGGCAGATTTGGGGAGATGTTAGAAATGCAGCAGCTAGCGTTTTTCCCTCATGCTCTTCCTTCAAATGCCAACACTCAGCTGCAGTCACTCCTATTTGCTTTGTGTCACCAATTCTCAGAACTAAAGTCTCTGGCGGGGTTGCTTCTGGTGCATCAGAAGTACCCCTAGCACAGCCAATGGCTCCACCTGCTTCTTCTCCCTCCACTACCCCCGCCTGTCCCAACGCCGATACTAGCCCATGTCCCCTTCCTCTTGCAGGCAAAAAACCGGGGTCCCAAAGCTAATCTCATCACTGGCCCCCACAGAAGCCCCCCATCTTGCAAGAAGTTCGACCCGGTCTACCTCACGTCCAGGTTAAGGAATTCCTTGGCACAACGCTGTGCGCATGTCCGGAAGTCCTAAAATACTTAGCCTCCGACAGCGGCGTACTTAAAGGGGCAGGCTCTCGCTTTAAGAAGAGCGTTAGGCGAGACCTGGGCTTTCTCCCGCTGCAGGGCCGCCTGGAAGCTCAAAAAGGACGGACGGGGCGGGGCGGGGCGGGGCGGGGCCTAATAGGTTGGGCCCACCCCGCCCGGGTGCTCTTCCGAACCTGGGTTCCTCCGCAGCCGTATCAGCTGAGCGGTGCCGGGGCGGCCCTGGCGCCCCGCTACTGATCAGGTAAGGAAGTCCCGCGGTGCGCGTCTTCTTCACGGGTCGTCCAAGGTCTGCGCTCCGGCCTCCGTCCCTGTGCCCCAGGGTTGTTGAAGGACGGTTTCGGAAGGAAAATCGCCTTCTGTCTTCAAAGTGAGAAAAGTTAGAGAGGAAGTAGTAGGTTGTGTGGGCGTAGCCTGCTCCAGCGTAAAGACTTGGGTGGGTCCCGAGGATCAAAAAGTTAATAGGACCTGAGGAGGAAGCTGGGGCGTGGAGAGGCGTCACCAAGTCCTGTGGCTCAGTCCGACCTCGCGTCAGGTTTCTCAACTCCCAGGCGATGTGTGGCGGGAACCGGTTTACGAAATGAATCTCTTTTCCTGAGAACCAGGAAGTAAGGCCAGCTCTGGGCAGAGATGCTCGTCGCGTGGAAGGCATTCTGGGCCTCCGCAAGATTCTAATTAGCTTGTCACTCTGGCTTCCAAGCTTCCAGGAAATTAGAAAGTGGAGAGGGGTGGAAGGATCAGATAAGTACGTTATCAGATGGCAAAAGTATACCTGACAGCCTGGAGCAAGAGGGAAAACAGAGGCATAAAAAGCAGACCCTGAGAAAGCGGGAAAACATTTTAGCTATTTGGAATGGGAAGCAGGAGCTCTATTACTGCCTGAAAAACCTATCTGCCCAAGGAGCCCTAAGAGTAGAGAATATTAAAGTCTGCCTTTTCCCTGTCTAGGGGTAATCCTTGAAGAGATCTGTCAGAAAGTTCCTATTTCTTTTATGCTGTCATGCTGAACATTCATTTGAAATTTGCTTTCTACCTCTCCGGTCCAAGCTCCTGATCTTGCGGGCCAAACCTGCTCCATCCTCAGTCTCCTCCATCTAAGTAAATGTCGAGAAACGTTCAGGCCAAAAACCTTGGTGCAATCTCCTCACCCTTCATAGCAGCACATGGGATTCTGTTTACTCTGCTTAGGAAAATAGCCAGCATCCTAAAACTGCACCCTCCCTGCTACCACTCTGGTCCAAGCCACCAGCACCTCCCCGCTGGATTGTTGGTGTACTCCGCCAATTGGTCTCTCCTGCTTCTCTGCTCTTCCTCTAGTATCCTTTACTCTCAGCAGCAGCCCCAGTGTCGTTTTATGACATGAATATAGAGCATATCTCTCCCATTCTCAAAGCCTCCGCTGCCTTCTCACTCAGAGAATAAACGAAATCAATACAAAAGCTATAAAGCTTTAGGAGACCTGGTGCCTTACTGCTCTCCTAATCTGCTACTTTTCTGCTCCTTCCTCTCCAGACTTACTTCTCCCTGCTGTTCTCAGGGAGCCCACTTCAGACCTTTCTATTCTTAGTATTCCTTTTACCTCAAAACTTCTCCCACAGATAGCCCGGTGTCTGACTTTCCCAATTCTTGAGACCTTTAATCACATGGCACTTTCTTATTGAGGCCTACTCTGACTACTCTGTTTTAAAGTGAAACTCCTCTGTTTATTTTTGTCCACTCCACTTGGCACCATCTAGCCTAGTGTAGAGTTTATTTGCTTATTGCCTGTCTTCCTCTATTAGAATATAAGTTCCATGAGTTCAGTTACGTTTTTCTTATTTTCCTAATGCTTTATCTCCAGGAACCTGGATCAATATCCAGCACAAAGTATACACTTAGTAAATATTTGCTTTATTTCAATATTCAATATTTTAGAATATTGAAAAACAATGTTTTTTATGTTTTTAATACATCCAAATATTATATATATTTTTAATATAGCCAAAGCATTTTAAATCACTTCCCATTGAATTAAATCCATGCTTGAGAATTATGTTGTTTAATATAAGGCATACCAGCACATATCCCAGTTTGAGAAGGGCAACCCTATATAATTTAATAGGTCCAGAAGGTATCACCAGCTTTTGCTCATAATGCAGGTGTTGAGTTGTCCAAAAATAAAGACTAATGGTTATCTAGCATATTTTGCTTCAAGCATGGGAGTGAATAATGTATTTTAGGGAGGTTAAAAATATATTAAATATACTACACTTAATAAAATAAGACTGCCCCTACCTGAAAAGCTTAGCTATATTCTCAGACCTCTTATTTCTACTCTGTCAGTAGCCCCTTACCACTTTTCTGAAAACTGAGCTTAAATACAACTCTGCACATTTCTTTAAGAAAAAAAAGTTATATAAAAATAACTTCTGCCATAAAATAGTTATTGCAGCATTTTTAAAAATCACCTAATTATTGATAGGCCCTTTGCATTTGTTGGTTTAAAATCTTACAGCAAGTCTTAGGTATTACCATCTCTGTTTTTCAGATGAAGAAACCAAGGTCCATAGAAATTCAATTATTAAGTCTGGTCACAAGTGGTTTGTGGAAGAGGTACATTAGAACCCAGGCCCGTGCAACCTCCAAGTCCATCTTCTTCCTTCCCTCTATCTTGTTTTCCTCTGATAAGAGTGCTGATGAAGCACAGTCTTAAAACTTCATTAATTCATTTGACAAAAAATTATTTCCTATTTGGGGTGTAACACTTTGTTTGAGAACATCCATATAAGTGAGAAGTATTCCACAAGGAAACATTCATTTTAGTATATTTCTCAATTGTCATCTTACCTCGTGTTCTTGTCCAAGTTGTCTTGTTTGAAAATATGAATGGTTACCATGAGAATTAATGGCATGAGAAAAGTTATGAAGATATGTATTTATTTACTTGTAAGCAATATATCTTTTTCTACTTCTTTTAATCCTAAGCACACTGAATTCTTGAACACTTTGCAAGAAGTAATACTTTTTAATTTTTTCTGTATAATAATTTATTTTTATTATTGAAAATGCAGAAAAGCAAGTGAAAACAAAACCACCATAAAAATCACCATCAAAAGGTATTCACAGTTAATGTTTTAGTATATGTTCTTCCAAATGTGTGTGTGGTGAGATACGAACGTATGTTTAAAGTAAAATTTTAAATTCTGAGGTTTAGAACTTATAGGTATATAGAGAGAGGAGTTGTCAGAAGGCTTTCCTAGTTTTGGTATCCCTATGCCATCACCTCTCCTAGAAATCTGGATATAGGAGAGCTACAGAATTTATCCCTGGTCCTAAGATAGACTTTTTATTCTCAATTTCCTGTATTTTAGCTCTCGCCTTTAGGATTACCAAGCAGTCCTACTTTTACTAGTTTTGTCAATCACTTTGTACTTCTTACAATGGAGGGAAATCTAAGTAAATAAAGGAAAATAATGTGAATGGAGCAACTGCAAAATCTACAGGCAGATATAATTTCTTAATTAAAAAAAAAATCAGTCTTTCTCACACTCAACAGAAGTATTTTGAGTAGCTGCTAAAGCCCAGTTTGGTTGGGTCTCTGCTTAGGAGAGCCCACCATCTAGAAGAGAAGGCAGACACACAAACAATAAAATATGATAATTGTTATACTAGAAGAGTGGTGACAGGTTGGAACAAAAGGTATGACTATCAGCGAGAGCCAATAGTGCATTTTGCCCTGAGCTTGAAGAAATCATAGGCATATTTGCCCAGTGACCCTCAGAGTGATTGGGCAATTCTTTTACCTAGCCCTAGATGACCTCATCTCCTGCTTCACCAAGAAAATAACATTGTGTGGGAATTCTCCTTCTCCCTTCAAATATGTCTGTATCCAAACCCCTTTCTAGATTTGGAAGAAAAAGTTGCCTTCTTTACAAGGCTGACGTCTTTACCTATGCTCTGTTCACTATCCCTTTTGTATCTTCAGCCAAACTTAACTCTTAAAACAAATCTTAAGCCAGCAGTTTTCACGGTGTGGTTGGGGTCCCAAAGTCTCTTTCAAGAGGTTCATAGAGTCCAAATCACTTATGGGTAAAAGATTCATTCAGAGTACAATGGATTTTAATGAAACAAAGTTCATTGATATGGTTCCAGATTCCACATTGCAGCTGTTAGGAAATTATCTTTTATCAAGTTTCACTATAGTGTCAGAGAAATATCTACTACTTTGTGAAAAGGCTGTTAAAATTCTGTTTCCAACTCTATGTATTTTCTTCATATATGTCAACCAAATCAATAAATATATTGCAGCAGAGTAAATGCAAAAGCAGATATGAGAATCCAGCTGTCTTCTATTAAGTTGAATATTAAAGTGATTAACAAAACTGTGAAATAATATAACTCTTCTTTTTATTTTGGAAAATGTAGTTATTTTTAGCAAAATATGTATGCTAACATGTAGTACATTCGTTATTTTTAATCAGTTAATGAATAAGTAATTTTTAAATTTTTCAGTGTCAGTTTCTAATAAGGTAATTATTGGTATATATATAGCCAACATAAACAAAAGTTCTTTGGATTCCACAGAAATTTTTAACAGTGTAAAGGGCATTGAGACCAAATTTGAGAACTGATGCCTTTTCCCTCTTTCCCTCTCTCTCTCTCTGTTTCTCTCTCCTTCCCTTCAAAGCCAGATTTCTTGGAAAATACATTTTTACCATTCACTCACTGCTCCATTAAAACTCTTCTTAAGTCACCCAGTTTCCAAATCTAACACACCCATGAGTATTTATTGGACCTCTCTGGGTCTTTTATACCAGCCTATGCCCTGCTCTAGAAATCTCTGATATGCTATTGTCCTAGTTTTCTTCTTACCTCCATGGCTTATCAATACTTTTTAAAGGTTCTTCTTTCTCTTCATTTCTTCACAATCTATATGTTCCTAATAGGCAACCTCATATTTACTTGTTGCTTCAACCAATGATTCACTTATGAATATGTGAGAATGCTCACATAGTGAGTATTCTTTACCTAAACCTTTCTCCCATGCTTCAGACCATATATCTAGCTACTTAGTGCCAACTCCCCTACATGGTGCCAGAGGTAGATATTTACCATTTAACATGACCACAAACACTTCATTTCTTCTATCATCTAAGTGCCCAAGCCAAAAAGCCAAGAATCAACTTCCTGGTTTTCCTCACTCTCCTTTCCCTTTAATATCTGATTTTTCATTAAATGATTTTTATTTGACCTCTAAATCCTTGAATCTTTATTTTTCTCTATTCCTCGACTTCTTTCACGCTTTCATTTCTGCTCACATAGATGATTGCAAAGTTTTCAAACTGGTCTCCTTGTCTCAATATACATCCCTTCAATTTCTTTATCCAGAGGAATCCACTTAAGCAAATAAGATCACATAACACCTTTCTTTAAAATCCTGAAATTGGGGCACCTGGGTGGCCCAGTCAGTTAAGCATCTGACTCTTGATTTCAGCTCAGGTCATGATCTCAGGATCATGAGATTGAGCACCACATCAGGCTCCAGGCTCAGCATGGAGTCTGCTTGAGGTTCTTTCCCTCTGCACCTCTCCTTGCTCAAGTACATGCTCTCTCTCTCTCTCAAATAAATAAATAAAATCTTTAAAGTCCTGAAATGGCTTCCCTATAACTTTTAGTATAAAGCTTAAAGTCCTTGTCTTAGCATATGAGGCGCATGATGATTAGGTCCTGTCTACCTCTCCAGCCTCATCTCTTACTACTTAAGAACATGTCTCCTATGCTCCAGCCATAGCAACTCCTTGCCTGAGCCTCATCCATGTTCTCCCTGCAATTCCTACTGCCTGGAATTTCCTTTTAGGTTGATCTTCATTCCTTTTCACTCATCCTTCCAATCTCCCTCCCCACCCAGATCTGTCTTGATATGTTTCGTTCAGACTGCCTTGGCCTCCATGCTTCTCTGGGCCTCCACACCCTACACACAGCTCTTGGAACATTTATCACTCACTGTAATTGTTTGTATCCTTTGCTGGACTGAGAAGGTTGAAAACAAAGATTTTTTTCTCCTTTCTGTAGCTCCCATCGCTCAGTACAAAGCCTGACATACATGTTTTTTGAATATATGAATAAATGAAATGTCTTGTTTTCATAGAAAAGAGACTGACTTGAACAATGCATTGAGTTATACAAGCAGGGACATATGGAATGAATTTTGGAGTCAGATATGAGTTCAAGTCCAACTCTCTCATGTACTACCTTTGTGAAGTAAAGATGTTAAAATTGCCTTCATCACTTTAAGGACTAAGTGAAATATATGACTCACCTAGCATGGTACTCGACAACATATTCATTCATTCCTAACTCTTACCAGCAATATGTACAACTTGCTAGTCAGTAGTTATCTATTAGCAAATGAATTGGACTCATGGAGCTTACAGTCTAATGGGGGGAGGCAGATAGTAAATAAGAAAATAAATACATGATTACAATTACATTGTGCAGTGATGAAAGATAATTAGGTTGAGGGCAGATAACCCTACTTAGATGTGGTGGTCAAAGAAGGCCAAAGAGAAGAGAATACAAATATGGAGGCCTACGATATAGGGAGATGTTTTGTTTTTTACTCTTTTATAGTTTCTGAATTTTGTACCACATGAATATATTCTTTACTCCAAAAATTAATTATATTACATTTTAAAGATAAAAATATAGAGTGAAGAAGGAGAATAGTTGACAGAAGAATATCTGAATCTCTTTGTCTTGATTAATTACAAGGAAATGTTGCCACTTGCTGAAAATGAGAGGCAGGGAGGTCAAATAAAACCACACGGAGAGAGGGCGAGGCGTGAAATAGTCACGGAGGACAATGAGTGAAGACAAGTAACAGGATTCACAGCAGTGTTGAAGGCCCCATGGAAAGGGGATCCCCATAAATTTGTGTTCATACCAGTCTTCTCAGCTAAATCTCTGTGGCTATATTCAGCAGTGCTGGTATACAAGTAAAATTGAAATGTATCCCTGGCTGTCGCTCCCCAGGGTGGAATGGCAAAAGAAAGAGGGGACTGAGGAAATAAAGGTTTTCTCTAGAGTGTAGTTAAAGTGGTGAACCACAGGGTTTGGCTTAGTAGGGAATGAATTATGATCAGGCAGTTCTCTTGGACTCAAATAACATGAAGCACGTGATAGGAAAAGTTGGTTATTTACCATATCTTTTAATGCCACTCAAATTTTTTTTTATTTCTACCGAAGAGTATTGGCAAATGTTTAATAGTGCATAAATACTGATTGAGAAGAATATTTTAAATTGAAAAATAAATCTTTTATGAATAAAATTGATTCCTGAATATTTTCTGAATTTTCAGGAATTTTTCTGAAAAAGTGAATTTTTCGCTTCTTTGTGTAAATTACACTTAAGAAATGTCAGAAAAATAGTTCAATTTGTTGTTGATAATTATAGGTGGAGAAAGAAAGACCAAAGGACAATTAGACAAATAAACCACAATTTTAATTTCTTCTTAGGATATCAATGAGTTGGCTTTGGAGTGTTCCTTTATTATGGTGTAATCAGTTGCCAGCATTTCATATATTGTAGCAAAATGTGATTTATAAGCTTACAGATGTCATCGCTAAAACTACCGTAAAATTTTAGTGAGAATTTTCCATATTTTAGGAATAGAAGATGAACAAACCCATAACATCTTCAACATATGTGCGCTGCCTCAATGTTGGACTAATTAGGAAGCTGTCAGATTTTATTGATCCTCAAGAAGGATGGAAGAAGTTAGCGGTAGCTATTAAAAAACCATCTGGTGATGATAGATACAATCAATTTCACATAAGGTAATGTATAAAAATCTTTTTCTCTTTAAATTCTTACATCACAATTAGAATGGTAAATAAATGTAAATACCATCTAATGTTGCAATTCAGAAAATAAAACTCTCTCCAAAGGAAATAATGGTAAGTAACCTCTTTTTTTCTGTTTTTGCAGTTTTTGCTTCATTCTCCATTATGTCAGCTAGGCTAGTGTTGTGATTTTGCAAACAATTTTTTGGGTTAGAATCAAGATTCCCACTTTTACTCTAGTTTTCTGTTTAGCAAGCTGAGAAAGTTCCCTCTGCCTCACACTTGTCACATCCAGATTGAACATAAGGGTATATTATAAGAATCTCTAGTAAAATTCTAAGTGTGTGAATCTCTACTTCACCTTAACAGTGTACTTTGAGAATTCTTCAAATTGACATTTTGAAGTTGCCTGTAAATGTACACATATATGAACTGAATTCTTAGTTCTTAGCCAGGATTTTACAACACTATCTTCAGATAATCTCATTCTTTGTCTCTACTTATCTCTGCTTGATTTACTATAAAATGTGAGTACAATTTTATTTTTGTCAGTGATTTCTCCCCAAATTTCAGCCCAAAATCTGTCTTTGGAAACAAGAGGAAAAGACATTAATTTGTGATTTTCAGCATTAACCTGATAAAGATCCCAAAGCCTTAATTCCCATATTAGTCCTTCCAGGAAATGTTTCCTCATATGAAGGATAAACATCTTAAATTACTTGAAAGAACCTTAAGTTTAGGAATGCCTTGGTGGCTCAGTCGGTTAAGCATCTACCTTTGGCTTGGATCATGATCCAAGTGCTGCATTGGGCTCCTTGCTCAGCAGGTAACCTGCTTCTCCCTCTGCCTGCCACTCCCCCTGCTTGTTCTCTCTCTCTCTCTGACAGATAAATAAATAAAATCTTTTAAAAAAAATAAAAGAAGCAGCTTAAGTTTAAACCTTGAAAAACGACTTTTAAAAATAGTTTATTGATGTTACTATTAAAAACTTTAGGAGGATAGTTGAGGCAGTGATGAGGAGAAAAAGCTCTTCTCTACAGAATAATGGCAGCAAATAATTATTGAAAGATTTATAAAAAGTTACCAATTTACAATCACCAATGAGTAACTGATTCATGTAAGACTCATCAATGTTGCTAAAACCACAAGATAAAAAGTTGTCGATGAACAAGATATGCACAAGATTTCAAAGTATTATCCACAGGTTACTTATGAATTATGAAGGGTAAAGGTACTTTTATAAAGAAAAAAATCTGAAGTACACCTCCATAACCAAGTAATCAAACTTGGGGTCACTGATAATGGCACAGACTGCATTATGTGGCTCTGGATGTGATGCAACGGGAAGAACACGTTGTCACCTAGGTAGTGTTCTTAACAAACATTTTTAACCTGAATTTAATCATGAGAAGGTAACCAGACAAATCTAGACTGTGAGACATTCTACAAGGCATTTGGCTTATACTCTAAAATGTGTGCACAGGGCGCCTGGGTGGCTCAGTCGTTAAGCATCTGCCTTCAGCTCGGGTCATGATCCCAGGGTCCTGGGATCGAGCCCCGCATCGGGCTCCCTGCTCAGCAGGAAGCCTGCTTCTCCCTCTCCCACTCCCCCTGCTTGTGTTCCCTCTCTCGCTGTGTCTCTCTCTGTCAAATAAATAAAATCTTTATTAAAAAAATTAAAAAATAAATAAAATAAAATGTGTGACGCACACACGCACATACACACACACAGGGAGAGGGAGAGGGCAAGAACACAAGCGTGGCAAAGTGTTAGCCACTGGCCAGTTGGTGTATCTAGGTGAAGGGGAAACAGTTGTTCATGGTATTATTCTTACAACTTTCCTGTAAGTTTGAAATTTTTCAACAGAAAAAATTTGGAGGCAAGCCAGAAACAATTAAGTTTTTAAATGTTATTTTTCAAACTAATTTTCAAAGAAATGAAAAACTGATCTGTTTTTCCTTTAATGTAATTGAAATATAATTAAGATCAAAGGAATAATTCCCCAAGTTTATATATAGTATTCTATTTCATTACGCAGAATGATTTATTAAAAATCATATGGCTAGCAGAGTTACTAAGTCAGGTAGGGAAGTAATATAGCTTAGTAGGTTGAGAGCACACCCTTATGTCAAGTGAGATCTGAATTTGGATCTCAACTTAAATACAGTGTTTTGGCTGTGTGGCTATGGGCTGGTTTCTTTACCTCCCCACACCTGGTTTTCTCATTAATAAATTAGTATTATACTCATAGTATCTTTGAGAATTAAATGAATTCATGTGGGTGCATCCCCTCAAGGTGGCCCCCTGAGCAGATACTCAGTAAGTATTCAGTTTATGTTAACTTATATTATCATTGCCTTCAGCATCTTTTTCCCTTCTGCCTATCTTCCCGGTTCTCAGAAATTCTCGCTGGTTCTCCTGCTGCCCCTTTCCTTTAATACTATAGGTGGTGCTGTGGGCGAGGCAGGGGCATGGGGGAATAATTCCTATTTTCATGTGAAGTCTATTACATACTAATTTTGTTTTTTTGTCACTTGCTTTTAAGGAGATTTGAAGCATTACTTCAAACTGGAAAAAGTCCCACTTGTGAATTACTGTTTGACTGGGGCACCACAAATTGTACAGTTGGTGATCTTGTGGATCTTTTGATTCAAAATGAGTTTTTTGCCCCAGCAAGTCTTTTGCTACCAGGTAAACGGAGTATGATTAGGGCATCAACGATTAGGGTGGATAGGCAAGTGGCAGAAATAGGTACATGTCTCCTTACTCTTACTTTTTTCTCCTGGTAGATGAGCCTTACATTTGAGACTGCTTTTCATTCTTTCCACCCTCCCCAACTCATACAAGCACCCCAGACATAAGGCACTGCGGACTTGCTGCTAAGGAGATGGAGGCTTCGTGATCGGGTCTGAGCCCACCATTCAAGTCAGGTAGTTTTGTGCCAATAGGAAGTTTAGAAGGACGGAAATTAGTTTTGGCAGGTTTGGGGTTTTTTTTTTAACTCTTGCTTTTTTTTCACCTTCAACTCCCACCCTGATGGGATCTGTGATTGTGATTTCCTTACATTGTATTCTGTTGGGTCACTGTTTAGATGCCCTCCGCATAACCTTATTTTTTTCCCTTTGATGCCACTTACACCAACAGTTCTCACTATTCTGTGTGCAGATTCCTGGCTCTATTCCAGACCTCGTTATCAGAATTCTTTTTTTTTTTTAAAGATTTTATTTATTTATTCATGAGAGACAGAGGGAGAGAGAGAGAGAGAGAAGCAGAGGGAGAAGCAGGCTCCCAAGGAGCAGGGAGCCCGATGCAGGACTCGATCCCAGGACCCTGGGATCATGACCTGAGCCGAAGGCAGACGCTTAACCATCTAAGCCACCCAGGCGCCCTCGTTATCAGAATTCTTGACTTGGGTTAATGCCAATGTTTTTAAACAAACACTTCAGTGCTTCTGATATAGGTGGCTTGTAGACTTTTTGAAAACACCGCCTTACCCTCTCTACTCGTCTTACTTACAGATTCTTACTAGGTAGCTTCTTGTGTGTGCTGTGAAAAAAGGAGGTTAAACCTGTGGAAACGGGGATGATGTCAAATGAACTGAGTTCCTAGTTTAACTTTTTCATAAACACTTTTTCTTATGGAAGGACAACTTATATCTTACTTCATTTGGCAGATGCTGTTCCCAAAACGGTTAATACACTACCTTCTAAAGAAGCTGTAACGGTTCAGCAGAAACAGATGCCTCTCTATGGTAAAGACAGGACATTTGTGTTACCTGTGCAGAATCTTGAACAAAACTATATGCCACCTGACTTCTCAAGTCCAGAAAATACAAGTTTAGAAGATAGTGATACACGTAAGTAACATTTGCAGTGCTTTCTGCTAGTGGATTTGTCATTAAGACCATTGCTGCTTTGAAATAAATCTCTCCTTTTTGTTGTGAACACTGTCCATAGCTCTTATTTTTTTTTTTAAGATGTTATTTACTTGAGAGAGAGAGCGCGCACGCGTACAAGTGGGGGGAGGGACAGAAAGAGAGGGAGAAACAGACTCCCCGCTGAGCAGGGAGCCCGATGTGGGGCTCAGTCCCAGGACCCTGGGACCATGACCTGAGCCGAAGGCAGACGCTTAACCAACTGAGCCACCCAGGCACCCTGGCCATAGCTCTTCTGTGGATTTTCTTTTTTCTCTCCTGACTCATTAAGCACCATCTCCATTGTATTAGTCAGTGTGTTATCAGTGAGTACAAGCAATAGGATGTACAAACAACCACAGAAGTATGACATAGTGTGTAACTATTTACATAACTTGAAAAGGTCATTTTTTAAAGAAAATAAGTGACTAGAGTTTTGGGTGGAGGATCACCAGGCAGAATTCTCAAGATGAAGCTTAAATTTTTATTTTAAAAGATAACTGTATTCTCTCCTATCATGCCTAATCCAAAGTTGTAAATATTTGTATATATATGAAATAATCAAGTTGAGAAAATATTAAGGTTATTAAAGCCAATATATTTTTTATCAAAGTACTTTTTTCCTTATTTTATTGACATTATAGGTTTTCACAGTTTTTCATTTTATGAATTGAAGAATGTCACCAATAACTTTGATGAAAGACCCATTTCTCTCGGTGGCAACAAGATGGGTGAGGGAGGATTTGGAGTTGTATATAAAGGCTACGTGAACAACAAAACTGTAGCAGTGAAGAAACTTGCAGCGGTAAGTTATATGTTTAGGAGTAAAAGGAATTAAAGGAAAAGTTGCTTCCTGGTGTGCTATATCATAAGTTTTAAATTAATCTTTAGGAAATACATTATTTCAGTGCATGTTTTCTTTAAACATCATTCTAAGCTGGTAGCTTTTAACACTTAAAAATTTGTTGAAAGCTATGGATCCCATCCCTACAAAAATGTAGTTATGGACATACACATATGAGTATACATATAATTTCAGAAGATTCACAAAATGAAGTTGAAAAGCCCCGTTCTACATAGTGCTTCATGCATAATCAATATGAAAATGGGAAGATACTAAGAAAATTTTGTAAAAGCAACTTTCTTATGTTACTTTTCTCATTTAAAAATAAAGCTTAAAAAATATACAATAAGAAAAAAGATTGAAAAAAATTCTTGTCTAAGTCCTTCATTCCCATTTCTTCTAGAGTGTTCACCATGTACTCGATTTGTTATAACTTATTATATTCTAGAAACATCCATGTAGTACATATTTATATGATAAAGATAGTCGCCTGTTGTCATAGATGTTACAAATACTTTTGTAGATTTTGTTTGTCTTTTTCCCTTCAAATTTGCTTATGTTTTTTGTTACAGCAAATGTTTTCTTCAGAATGCTTGTGCAGTAAATTCTCATATTTCATTTTGTTCCTCCAATAACTCACTGAGGCTTATATGGTTATATGGTTTATAAGTTTTTTTTTCCCTTCCACTAATGCCAGGGGACTTTAAACAAATCATTAAAATTTCTAGTTCTCAGTTATTCTATAAAATGGAGAGAGTAATGCCTTTACTGTTTTAAAGAAAGCAAGATCAGCCAGGCCATCTTTTGCACCTCCTTCTAGCTTTAGGATCTTTGAGGTTATTGTATTGTATTATATTATATATTATTTTATTTTTTCAGATGGTTGACATTAGTACTGAAGAACTGAAACAGCAGTTTGATCAAGAAATAAAAGTTATGGCAAAGTAAGTTAATTTGGCAATGTGGTAGAGTAGAAAAGAGTAGCTCCAAGAGTAGAGGACCTGGTGTCTCACCCAGAGTGTGCCATGAACTAGTGATATTTCCAAACATGTAGAATTAAACTAAAGGATTTAGATGAGAGGAATTGAAAGAATTTTGACTCTACAAGTCTGTGACTACAAATACTCACATGCCTGGAGCTTAAACAGCACTATAAGAAGTGCTATATCATAGCAAAGTTCCAAAGGATTTCAGCTATCTTCCGTTACCATGTTTACTGCTCCCAAATTCATGAGAGATAAGTTATAGAGATACAAAAAAAATTACAGAATAATAGGCCCTTAGATATGTTAACAACCCTAAATCAGGAAAAAAGTTATATGCCAGAATCCTTAGAAGACATTGACCCAGTACGCTTGACAATTGTTGGGCGTTGTCAAGAAGGATAAGAGAAACAAATCAAGATCTATTCTGATAATTGTAGTGTGGTACATTTTATGTGTCTGGTCTCATTTAACCCTCCTAACAGTTCTTATAACCTCCCCTACCTTTTTTTTTTTTCTCAAAGAGATTTAGAAACATTATGTAGCTTGCCCGAGGCCACATAGCTGGTAAAAATCAGATCTGGTTTTCATATCCAGACCTGCCTGATTCCAGAGCTTAAGCTTTATTCATTTTCCTTTTTTAAAATTTATTTATTTTTTAGTCCCGAAATATAATTGACATACAAAGTGATAGTAGTTTCAGATATGCAACATGCCGATTCAACAATTCTATGCATTACTCAGTGCTCACCACAATAAGTATAGTCCCCATCTGTCACCTTAGAACATTATTGATATGAATCCTAATGAGATGTACCAATTTACCTCAATTATACCCATTGCTACAAATTACCAATTGTAATTGCTTAACCTCAAGAAAGAAATAATAGACTGGAATTAATTCAGTCATAGTAAAAATAATGCACACTGATAAAAAAACAAAAACCTCTTTCTTTCGGGATTTTGTTCCCCCCACCCTTTTACCCACTCTGCAATCCTAAAAGTAACTTGTTCAAAGTAGATATTCTAGGAAATACAGGAATATATATTTAAAGTAATAAAAACCATCTCTTAAATATATCACTCAGAGAGAGCCATGGCTAATATTTTGATGTACTTGCTTCATGATGTGTGTGTAGCATTTTTTCCATGTCATTAAAACTAATTTTAAAACATTTTGTTATTGTATATTAGTTTTAATTTTAAAGTATTGTATATCAATTATTTAGCATACATGATGATTATATTTTATTTAACCAGTACCCTACTAGGTTTGTTTCTAATTTTCAACATTACAAATTAAAGTTCCTTTAAATCTCATTGTATATAAATCTTTAAATGCAACCCTGCTTATTTTATCAGATAGAATCCTAGAAGAATCACTGGTTCAGAATGCATGAACTTCTTAAAAACTTTCCAAGTACATGTCCAAATGGCTTTATAAATAAATTATGGTAATTTACACTCCTATCAGCAGTGTATTACAATTTTAAATTTCACTACCTCACCACCACTGACTATTATTACTGTTTCTTAATAAGTAACAATTTCTGGACCTTACTAGCAGAATGACCCTGGCCAAGTTTCTTAACTGTCTGTTAGTTTTCTCATCTATAAAATGGGATAATCATAGTGTTTACTTCATTAAGTTATTGTGAGGATTAAATAAAACAAAGCAGGTAAATCATTTACCGCAGTGCCTTCTACACCGTACAAACTCAGCAAATGTTACCTACTTGTTTTTAAAATGCTCCAGTTTGATGGAAAATAGAGTACTTATTGTTTTAATTTGTACTTCTTAAAATATTTATGAGGATAGACTGTTTTCAAATTAAAGTCTGATTTGAAATCATGAAATCCCAGAGTTTTAGATGATTTTGAATCAATAAAGTGAGTAAGCACTTGGATGGAATACATACCATGTTCTAAGTATATTTCTAGGCCCTCATGTATTTGCTCATTCAATTCTCACAGCATCCATGTTACATAGTAGGGGTTATTATCCACATTTGGTGAATTTGCTGAGGCTCAGTTGAGGTTGTTAACTTGTTTTAAGTGTTAATTTGGCCTATAGGTCAAATATCCAGGGGGTGGCAGAGCTGAACTTTAAACTTAGGACTTTGCCCAGTTTTCTTTCTACTGTACCACAGATACCTGAGGTTTTGTTATAGTTCAGCTCTCTTTAATTTTATCCCTTCCAAGTAGATAAAGAAATTCAAATTAGGTTATAAATAATAAGATATCATTAAAGATCAACTATGTGTAAATTAGGTATGGTTAGAGATCAGATGTCTATAAATCAGGGCTTTGGATGTGTTAGAAAATTCTTGAAAGGGTTGGCATACCAATTTCAACAGACTTCTTGAAATCTTGCCTGTAAAACTATCATTGAAAATTGTGCTACACAAAGGTAATTATCAGCCCAGTCCTTAACCAAACTATCACAAGTTCCAAAGTTCTAAGTTATTAAGCTTTTACTATAAAATAGAAACAGGAGACGCCTAGCTCAGTTAGAAGAGCATTTGATTCTTGATCTCAGGGTTGTGAGTTCAAGCCCCACAATGGGTGTAGAGATTACTTAAATAAATAAAATAGAAAAAGGATTTACTTCTAATGTTGATCAATATTGACTGAAAGAACTGTTTGCAGAAAATTGTAAATGGTTACAATAAACATAAATAAACATGTTATAAACATATGTATCATAATATAATGATATATACCATATCATTATTTTCGTGCTCTTTTTTTCTGTTAAAGCTCTAAATTGAATAACCTCCAACCTACACCTGAATATATGTATGTGTCATAATAATTTTGAGTGGAAAATTATTTGTCGTAGGTGTCAACATGAGAACTTAGTAGAACTGCTTGGTTTCTCAAGTGATGGAGATGACCTCTGCTTAGTATATGTTTATATGCCCAATGGCTCATTGCTAGACAGGCTGTCTTGCTTGGTAAGATATTTGTTCATCAGATTGTTTGGCTTTCTATTTATGTGTTGGAATACTAATATTCACTTTGTGACAAGATTATTTTATAACCATATTAATCTTAATATTTTTCCTGCTCTTTGAAAATTATACAGTTGATAGGTATACAACTGGGATTGCTATTCTATTAGGTGATAATCTTAAATACAAAATTACCAGTCAAGACCAGTCTTTGAAGGTGCTCTTATATATTTTTGTTGTCAAATAAGAAATGTTGACTCTGACTTGATCTTATTTAGAGATTATTTTTTAACAATTTTTAAAAATTGTAATCCTAAATTCTTGGTGATATAATATCGTTTTCAGTAGTTGCTTAGAAAAATGTTCTGTTATATATTTTCTATAGATTTTTTTATCCTTTTTTTTTTAATGGGTTGGTTTCTTACTTCATAAGGATGATACTCCACCACTTCCTTGGCACATGAGATGCAAGATTGCTCAAGGTTCAGCTAATGGCATCAGTTTTTTACATGAAAACCATCATATTCATAGAGACATTAAAAGGTAAATGCTACTCTTAAAAAAGTTTTTGGAACACCATATTTGGAGAATAACTTGCCCTCACTCTTTTATTCAATATTCATATGCATGTCTACAGCACTCCATGAAAGCTCTTCTCATTAAGACATCTATAATCTCCTTTATTCCAAACCTACTGACCTATTTTTAGTACTCATCCTACATGATCTTTTTTTGAATAGCATGGCATTTTGTTTTTCTTGACTACTTTTGCCTTGTCAAAATTATTTTCTTGGGGCGTCTGGGTGGCTCAGTCATTAAGCGTCTGCCTTCGGCTCAGGTCATGATCCCAGGGTTCTGGGTTCGAGCCCCACATCAGGCTCCCTGTTCAGCAGGGAGAAGCCTGCTTCTCCCTCTCCCGTTCCCCCTGCTTGTGTTCCCTGTCTCACTGTGTCTCTGTCAAATAAACAAAATCTTAAAAAAAAAAATTATTTTCTGGATCACCACTATTTTCTGAATCACTCTCATCCTCCATGGGTGCATTTCAATTCTCTTTCTTCTTGCGTAAATAACAAATATTAATTGAGCACCTACTACATGCTAGGCACAGTAGAAAATATAGTTAGCAAAACTAGCACTTGTAGTGTTTGACATCAATCAAATGATCACTAATAATAGAACTTTAGTAAGTAGTATATAGTATTTAATGTACAGTATTAGTATAAATAAGAGTTCTCTGAGGAAGTGATATTTTAGCAGAGATCCAAAGAATGAGTAGGAAATAAGCGGACACAATTAGAGGGTAGCTAAAGAAGGTAGGGAGAAGAACATTCTAGAAAGAAGGGACTACATTTGTAAGACCAGTGTTGAGAGGTAATTTGAGAGCATGATGAATTATAGGAAGTGAAATGAATACAGTATAACTGAAATGCAGAAATTGAAGAAATGATTGATATAAGATAAAATTATAGAAGTCAGCCTGGAGCTAACCCCTGTAGGATCTAGTAGACTAAGGTAAGGACTTTAGTTTTATCATAAAGGTAATCAGATCCCATTGAAAAATTGTAAGTAGAGATGTGGCATCATGTTTAAGTTTGGAGAAGATCACTTTGACTTGAGTGTAGAGAAGGGATAGTTAGGAGACTATCACAGAAGTCTTGGTGGTAGCAGTTCATATCAAAAGAAGTGAGCAGATTTGAGAGATGAAGATGGCAGGACTGGGTCTCTCAGTCGGTTAAGCACCTGCCTTCGGCTCAAGTCATGATCCCAGGGTCCTGGGATAGAGCCCCAAATTGGGCTCCCTGCTCAGCGGGAAGCCTGCTTCTCCCTCTCCCTCTGCCCGTCCCCCACTCAAGTTCTCTCTCGCTCTCTTTCTCTCAAATTTTTTAAAAATCTTGAAAAAAAATAAGATGGGAGGACTTGCTGATATCTTGGCTGCAGAGGGGTCAGGGAGAGGGACATGTCAGGAATGACTCCTGGATTTCTAGCTTCCTGAATTGCATTCTGGGATGATTGTGGCATGATTCACTTACATAGAAAGCACTGGAAGAGGACAAGGTTGAGGGTTGAAGATGTGAATTCTCTTTTGTACATGTTGTGTTTGAGATTCTTTTAAGATATCAAAGTGGAGATGCTAAACAGACAGTGTGATGTACAGATATGGAGCTGAAAAAAGTCTGAGCTGAAGATATAAATTTGTGTATTACATATAGATGATAATTGACGACCTCTTATATGATTGTATTCTCTTAAGGAGAGATAGAGATTAGAAAAAGGTCCCAAGATTTAGTCCTGAGGAACTTTAAGACTTACTGGCCAAATAGAAGAGAATGATCTCAAAAAGGAATCTAAGAAAATAGGCACAGAGAGGTCAGATGAGAACCTAGAGAGTATGATATCTGTGAAAACAAGGAAAGAGAGTATTTCCCAGAAGGGACTAGTTACAAATGCCAGTTGCTTTTTAGAGGTCAGAATGAGGACTGAAAATCACCATTTGATTAGTGCCCTGAAGATCATGGGTATCTTTACAAAGCCCTACTTCCCCGTAGTCATTGGGCACAATTCAGGATGTAGTTGAGGAGAGAGTGGGAGCTAGAGAACTGAAATGTGAGTGTAGACAAGTCTTTTATGACATTTAGATAGTGAAGGGTGATTGCTGGAAATGATGTGTCATTCAGGAAACTTTTTTTAAGATGGCAGAGACTAAAGCATGTTTTTATGCCTAGGGGAAAAGGGAGATGATAAAATAGAGAAGTGAGATAATTAATGGAGTAGGGTTCCTGAGAACATAGGAAGCAGTCCAAGTACGAGATCAGCCATAGATGAGAGGACAGGCGCAACCTCTCATCCCTTACGTGTTGGTGTATTTCCCCCTATTCTCACCTCCTGTTTCTTCTCTTCCCACAACGTGTTCTTGCTGACATTATATTGACTTCACCTGCTATCTGCGTGTGGGTGACACTCAAATCTGTATCATCAGCCTCTGATCCTATATTTTCAATATCTCCAGACCAAAAACACCTTGCCTGGGTGTCCAACAGCAGCCTCTAAGTTAACATGTCAGAAATCAAATTCATTTTCTCTTCCAAACCAAAGTCTTCTTCCTGTATTCCCTTCCTGATCAAATGAAGTCACTATTTCTCCTGTCTCCCAAGCTAAAGACTTTCTCATTCCTCATATCACACTCATTACAAAGTTCACTGAATGTGCCTCAGATTCTCAGCTCCTTTTTTTTTCCTCCACTGTTCTTTCTTTATCCAGACTCTCACCATCTCTCATTTGCTTTATTACAAGCTTTCCTGGTCAGCCTTTAACTAGTCTGTTCCAGTTCTCACCTATTCACTACTACACTGCCAGGTTGTGTTCTTAAAAATCAAGGCTAGAGGTGCCTGGGCGGCTCAGTGGGTTAAGCATGGCTCAGGTCATGATCCCAGAGTCCTGGGATCGAGCCCCACGTCAGGCTCCTTGCTCAGTGGGGAGTCCGCTTCTCCCTCTTCCTCTGCCCCTCCCCCTGCTTGTACGCTTTCTCTCTCTCAAAGTAAGTAAAAATCTCTAAAAAAAATCAAGTCTAATAGCACCAACTCCTTACTGAAAGAGGAAAAGAAAACTTTTGCTGGCGTCCTGCTCTCACAGGATCAAATTCATATTCTCCGTGTTTCATTGGCACCAGTTTCTTGAAATTGATCATATGTTTTTATGTTTTCATCACTATGTACATGTTGCTCCATTTGCCTGAAATGCCTTTTTTCCCCCCTCATTTATCCCTCACCTTCTAACAATCCTTCAAGACTAAGCACACTGTTCACCGTCTCCTTAGAGTTTCTTCCAGGCATGTGGTTGTTCTCTCAGCATTTTGTATCTGTTATCACCATTATGGAGTATTTATTGGATTTTTAAAAATTATTCACAGACAAGATTTGAAAATCCCCCTCCATGCAGGACTGAGCTTAAATACTATTATACATAATGATTCCTTGATAAAATTTTTTATTGAATGCAACTATGCGTGCATGAGTGAATGCATGTAATGAATGAATGAAGACCTTTTAACCATGTTATTTCCTCTTTGAAAGATTTCAGGTAGTACAAAAAAAATAAATAAATAACACCTGAAACTAACATAACTGCATGTGAACTATACTGGAATTAAAATAAAAAAAACTTAAAAAGAAGAATAAAGAAATGAATAATTGAAATACTTTCGCTGGAAATTTGTTTTTAAATGAGTTGAGAAATGTTAGGAAAGGAATAGAATGGTGCTTTAAGAGACTGAGGGAAATTTTCCCTATGATAAATTACTTATGAAATAATGAAAGTATCTCTCACTAATGTGGACAGTTTTATTTCATTTTTATTCTCTTAAAATTTTTACTAAAATCTCCCAAAAAAAAAAGACAATCTTTTCTCTTTAGCTTTAATGTGAAATCTACATTTATTTATACAAATTTCAGGCTTTTCTGATGTGTATTATAAAATGGTATACTCTGTAAATATGTACATATATTCTGTATTTACATAAATATTAACTGTTTGACTTGCTTGAAAAGAAAAATATTTTTTTCTTTTCAGTGCAAATATCTTACTAGATGAAGACTTTACAGCCAAAATATCTGACTTTGGGCTTGCACGGGCTTCTGAGAAGTTTGCCCAGACAGTCATGACTAGCAGAATTGTGGGAACAACAGCTTATATGGCACCTGAGGCTTTACGAGGAGAAATAACACCCAAATCTGACATCTACAGCTTTGGTGTGGTAAGTTTCACATATATAATTAGTAAAAATAATCATTCTGGCTATAACTGTGAAATTGAAGTAGAATATTCTGAAATACCTGTCTTGCTTAGCTCTCTTATGTAAATGTGCATATTGTTTACTTTAACCCTTAGTTAAATGATAAAGTTATAAAAGCTTCTCCAAATTTGTAGAACTTTTTAAAATGGATTTCTGAAGTTACTGCAAGAAATGACTTTTTAAACACACTATCCTCATGAATTAGTATGAAGGTTACATTAAATTAGTACATAAAACAGAGATGCCTGGGTAGCTCAGTCGGTTAAGCATCTGCCTTTGGTTCAGGTCAAGATCCCAGGGTCCTGGGATTGAGTCCCGCATTGGGCTCCCTGCTCAGCGGGGAGCCTGCTTCTCCCTCTCCTCTCCCCCTGCTTGTGTGCACGCTCTCTCTCTCTCTCTGACAAATAAATAAATAAAATCTTTAAAAAAAAAAATTAGTGCATAAAACAAATCATGTCATACAGCACACATGTTAGTGTCATATTTTTTAAATGAAATATTCTTTAAAAGACATACACATTGGGGCACTTGCGTGACTCAGTCATTAGGAGTCTGCCTTCAGCACAGGTCATGATCCCAGGGTCCTGGGATCGAGCCCCGCATCGGGCTCCCTGCTTCTCCCTGTCCCACTCCCCCCGCTTGTGTTCCTGCTCTCGCTTTGTCTGTCTCTGTCAAATAAATAAATGTTTTTTTTAAAAAAGGGCATATACTTTGGCATTTTCTGATCTACTGGTCTGTTCAGAATAACTTTTAAGATGGAGTGAGTGGGAGTGGTTGGAGAAATCAGGTTCTTCTTCATCTTATTTTTGCATATATGTTTCCTATATGGAAATTTAACTTCACAGCACTGTGAAGTTAAGGCACAGAGTTGTAGGATATGCCTAAAGTTCAGAAAATAATATTCTAAAAGCCAGAGAAAATTATTCTTGTGAAGACTGCCCTGCAAGACAGGAGGACTGTCCAGAACACATACTGAGTGGAACTGATTGTTTTAGTAAGTTGTTAATAGAAAAGTACTGCTTGGGGGGATTGGTGGAACCCAAGATTTCTGTGAAGGAGTGGTGGTGAGAAATGACCACAACTCATGTCCTTTCTGCTTTTTTTTTTTAAGATTTTATTTATTCATTTTAGAGAGAGCACACAAGCAGGGGGAGTGGCAGAGGGAGAGAGAGAGAATCTCAAGCAGACTCCCTGCTGAGTGAGGAGCCCAATGCAGGGCTCGATCCCAGGACCCCGACATCATGACCTGAGCTGAAACCAAGAGTCGGATGCCCCTGTCCTTTCTGCTTCAATGCCTAAAAGGCATAATGCAGTATGTGGAAATGATTAATCAGATTTCATAATCAAGATCCATATTATTTCCATATGTTGTCTTGAGTGTTACAGTAATGGACTTCTTTTTTTTGTCTTCATAGGTTTTATTAGAAATAATAACTGGACTTCCAGCTGTAGATGAACACCGTGAGCCTCAGTTATTGGTAATTGAAAGATTTATTATTTTTTCCAGTCCTTTTCTCTTTGCATTTATAATCTAAATTTATATGGGTAAATTTGGCATCTAGCAATGTCTTTTTCTATTGACAATCTTTTCATTGGCAGTTACAAAGTGGCATATGGAAAGAGCATCACATATTTCTAATCTCAGCTCTGCCATGAAGTATTTGGGAAGCTTGGAAAAGTCACTTATATATTCTATGTTCTGGGTAAAACCAGAGTAGAACTATATGACTTTCTAGGTCTTCTACAGTTTATTTTTATTTTCTTTTGTAAGCTAAAGATTTCAGAAATACCTACTATCATGAATAAGTTTTTCTTAAAACTAGTTAAATAACTACACTGACTTTATTCTAATTTATGTGTTCTAATGAGGCAAACCAGTGAGACAAATTCAGATAATATATGTATAACAGATTATTCCCATAGAATGGAGATTAGAAAGTCAAAGGGTATGATATATTTGCTCAAGGATTGGTACCATTTTTTGCTTTAAGAAAAACAATAAAGGGCACCTGGGTGGCTCAGTCGTTATGCGTCTGCTTTCGGCTCAGATCATGATCCCAGCGTCCTGGGATCAAGTCCCGTGTCAGGCTCTCTGCTCAGCGGGGAGCCTGCTTCTCCCTCTGCCTCTTCCTGCCGCTCCCCCTGCTTGTGCTCTGTTGCTCTCTCTCTCTCTTTCTGACAAATAAATAAAATAAAATCTTTTAAAAAAAAATTGTTTTAAAGCTAGATATTAAAGAAGAAATTGAAGATGAAGAGAAGACGATTGAAGACTATGTTGATACGAAGATGAATGACACTGATCCCACTTCCATTGAAACTATGTACTCTGTTGCTAGTCAATGCTTGCATGAAAAGAAAAATAAGAGACCAGACATTAAGAAGGTACTAACTGATTTTTTATATTTATTTAAAAATGAAGAAGGTGGGGTTCATCTTTTCTTTCCAAGTTTACATTTCAAAACAACTGTTTAATACAGTTTTTTTGTGTTTTTCTTTTTCTGTCTTTTTGAAAGGTTCAACAGCTGCTGCAAGACATGACAGCTTCTTAAAATTTTACTGGAATAGGCTCTTGATTTTTTTTGTATGCACCTATCTAAACCATTTTTTAAACTAAATTTTTTTAATAAACATTCTTTTTTACCTTTAACAAGGCAGCATGGAGCAGTGCAGTGGCTATTAAAGCCTGTATAGAACCACCAACAAATATAGAACAAACAAAAGTAGAGCCACGATATCGACCCTAAGCCCTAGCTCGTTAGTGTCACCCTCAGTTCTTGAGTAATCCCTGAGACCTCTCCTTGGAACTCCCCAAACACGGTTTGAAAACTATAGAATTAGCAACAAAGAGGACTGGACCATAGGGTGAAAAGACCCTCGGCCAAAGCCCAGTTCTACTACTAATTTGCTGTAGAGCTTTGGGCAAGCCCTACACAGCTTTAAGCCTTGGTTTTTTTTCACTGGTAACATTGGGCTAATATCTATTGTGCTTCTCGGACAGGTAGTCATGAAAATCAGATGAGGCAGCATATGTACGTGCACTTTGTAATATGTAAAGTGATAGAAAATTTAAAATTTATATACAATCCAATTACAGTCATTTGTTTATAGGAACATGTTCACGGTATGCTATTTTAAGCAATCATTCACCACTAACCAAATATGCCCTGATGTTACTTCCATGATGATATGGTCAATATTAGATTATGTTACATGGCAAAATTGAAGGAATTTTTTTAATAATTTTTATTGTTATGTTAATCACCATACATTACATCATTAGTTTTTGATGTAGTGTTCCATGCTTCATTGTTTGTGCATAACACCCAGTGCTCCACGCAGAATGTGCCCTCTTTAATACCCATCACCAGGCTAACCCATCCCCCCACCTCCCTCCCCTCTAGAACCCTCAGTTTGTTTTTTCAGAGTCCATCGTCTCTCATGGGAAGGAATTTTGCAGATATTGTTAAAGTCCCTAATCTGCTGACTTTGAGTATCAACTGAGAGACTGTGCTAGGTGGGCCTGCCCTAATAAGGTGAGTTCGTACAAGAAGCCTGAGAGATTATCCCGTGGCCTTGAAGAAGTAAGCTACCGTGTTGTAAGAAGGCCACATTGGCTAAGACTTAAGGGTGGCCTTCTAGGTTGAGAGCCACCTTCCAGCTGTTAGCCATCAATAAAAAAACTGGGACCTGGGTTGTATAACCACAAGAAATTGAATTCTAGAAAGAACAACTGTTTTTCTTCCCATATTTCTGACCCACTGGTTTGCTCGCTAGCCAATGAAAAATTTTTTATTTTAAATTTCTCTCAATATGTTCTATGGGAACCAAGCAGGTAACAGGAACAATTAATAAATGCTTTGCCTTACTTTTCTAACATATAATTAAGAGAAATTTAAGACATTCTGAAGCATTTATTGCTCTATCCACTTTCTGCTTCTGTAACCATATAAAATGGCCATAGATCTCAGCTTTCTGTAGTCCTTTTTGTTCACTTTCAAAACACAAGCATACCTCAGAGATACGTACAGTTCAGTTCCAGACCACCACAATAAAATGAGTATCAGGGCGCCTGGGTGGCTCAGTCGGTTAAGCGACTGCCTTTGGCTCAGGTCATGATCCTGGAGTCCCAGGATCGAGTCCCACATTGGGCTCCCTGCTCGGCAGGGAGTCTGCTTCTCCCTCTGACCTTCTTCCCTCTCATGCTCTCTCTCTACCATTCTCTCTCTCCATAAATAAATAAAAATCTTTAAAAAATAAAAATAAGAAAATAAAATGAGTATCACAATAAAGTGAGTCAAATAAATTTTTTGGTTTGCCAATGCATATAAAAGTTATGTTTACACTACACTATAGTCTATTAACTGCAATAACATATGTCTAAAAAATAATGTACATACCTTAATTTAAAGATACTTTGTTACTAGAAAATGCTGACTATGGTCTGAGCTCGCAGGGAGCTTTTTGCTGGTGAAGCATCTCACCTCCACGTTGATGGCTGCTGAGTGATCAGGGAGGGTGGTGGTTGCTGAAGACTGGGGTGGCTGTGGCAATTTCTTAAGTGAAGTTTTTCCCATCAATTGACTCTTCCTTTCACAAACAATTTCTCTGTAGCATGCAATGCTGCTTCATAGCATTTTACCTACAGTAGAACTTTTTTTCAAAATTGGAACCAATCCTCTCATACCCTGCCACTGCTTTATCAACTATGCAGTATTCTAAATGTTTTGTTGTCATTTCGGCAATCTTCACAGCATCTTCACCAGGAGTAGATTCCATTCTCAAGAAACCACTTTCTCCACTCATCCCAACTCTTCATTTGTTAAAGTTTTATCATGAGATTGCAGAAATTTAGGCACAACTTAAGACTCTACTTCTAATTCTAGTTCTCTTGCTCTTTGCACCACTGAAGTCTTCCCTTCCACTTCCTCCAGTGACGTCTCAAACTCCCCAAAGTCATCTATGAGGGTTGGAATCAACTTTCTTCATATCAGCAATAAGACTGTTTCCCTTTCTTATCAGTCATGTGTTCACTATAGTAGAACTTTTAATTTACATTCACAACCTAGCTAACTATTTGGTGCAAGAGTCCTAGCTTTTGGTTTATATCAGCTTTTGACATACCTTCCTCACTAGCCTTTTTTTAAAGCGAAACAGGTGTGACTCTTCCTTTCGCCTGACTACTTAGAGGCCATTGTAGGGTGGTTAATGCGCCTAACTTCAATATTGTTGGGTCTCAGGGATTAGGGAGGCGTGAGGAGAAGGGAGATGGGACGGTAGGCCAGGAAAGCCGTCAGAGCACACACATTTATCGGTAAGTTCCTGTCTTAGGGACTTCGTGCCCCAAAACAATGACAGTCATTTAACATCAAAGGTCACCGACCACAGATCACCATAACAAATATACTAATGATTAAAAGTTTGCGGGCGCCTGGGTGGCTCAGTTGGTTAAGCGACTGCCTTCGGCTCAGGTCATGATCCTGGAGTCCCTGGATCGAGTCCCGCATCAGGCTCCCTGCTCGACAGGGAGTCTGCTTCTCCCTTGACCCTCCCCCCTCTCATGTGCTCTCTCTCTCTCAAATAAATAAATAAAATCTTTAAAAAAAAAAAAAAGTTTGAAATACTGCAAGAATTACTAAAATGTGGCACAGAGACACAAAGTGATCGAATGCTGTTGGAAAAATGGTGCTGATAGACCTGCTCAACCCAGGGTTGCCCTAAGTCTTCGATTTACAAAAGCTACAGTATCTCCAAAGTGAAGTCCAATGATTTATGCCTGTAAGTATGTATTTTATTTTTTCCAGCTTTATTGTACTATAATTGACAATTAAAATTATATTTACTTCACGTGTTCAGTGTGTTTTGCTGTATATATACATTGTGAAATGATTTGATAATCAAGCTAATTAACACAACCATCACCTCACATAGTTACCTTTTTTGATTTTTTGGTGTGGTGAGCACATTTAAGATTACTCTCTTAGCAAATTTCAGTATACAATACAGTATTATTAACTACAGTCATCAACTTGTACATTAGATGCCCAGAACTTAGGCATTTTATATACTTTTATATTCTTTGACTAACCTCTCCCCATACTCCTTTGAAGTTTGTACGATTCCACTGTAAGAATGGACACAGATAGGAATGGCTTTTTAATCATTCAAATTCTTTTTTTTAATCATTCAAATTCTAATGTCAAAAACGATCAATATGGAGGGGCGCCTGGGTGGCTCAGTTGGTTAAGCAACTGCCTTCGGCTTAGGTCATGATCCCAGGGTCCTGGGGTCGGGCCCCACATCGGGCTCCCTGCTCGGCGGGAAGCCTGCTTCTCCCTCTCCCACTCCCCCTGCTTGTGTTCCCTCTCTCGCTGTCTCTCTCTCTCTCTCTCTCTCTCTCTGTCAATTAAATAAATAAAATCTTAAAAAAAAAAGGTCAATATGGAGACAATAGCAATGAATCTCCAAAATTAATGCTAAGATTTCATTCCTCTGATGAAATTAGGATAAAAATCATCTCATGAAATACTCCGACCTAAAACAATAATTAACAAAATTAATATTATATTATTCATTAAATATTCATTGATTGTTTTCAATGGTCCAAACACTTATAAAAGCAATCAACATATAATAATGAGCATTACAAAGTCCTTGTTTTCTAAGAGCTTGCTCGCAGGGTAAAGTCTGTTCAAAGAAGATGAGACACTGAGATGATAGTATACAAGTAAATAAAACAAGATCAGGTAGTGAGAAGTATAAAGGAAATACTAAAACTGTGTGTTGTAATAGATTCCCTTGGCTAGAAAGCTTTAACAACACCCAAGCTCAAACAAACAAACAAAACCTACTAGTGTATAGTCTCAGAAATGATAGGCATGTATTGTAACTTAGAAAAAAGAAAAATAGAAAATCTAAACTGAATCAAGTTTTGTGTGTGTGTGTTAGCAGAGGCCCTTAGGTGAGAAATGATCCAAGAATGAGACTTTGTCACAAAATTTCTACTATTCTGGGGCAAGGAGTATTGTCTTTCAGATTATATCAGGTGTTTTCCTCTGTTAGGCTATTTATGCATCAGGGTAGTTGGTTGAAGATGTTATTAAGTTTATCTAACTATCTGTTTGCTTGTATTAACTCCATACTTACCTGGCAGCCTTTCCTTTTCATTTTGATTTCTTGCCTGGATTTGCCTTTTGAAAAATAATGCACAATGACAAAGACTGTTACAATCTACATATCAGTTTCTGTTGCAGAATGTCTTTTTATGATTAATAAGATCACATTCTAGTTTATACCTAAGTCTTTTGAAAGTTTAGGGAGCATGAATTAAATCATGATTGATCATCTCTGGCTGACCTGCAATTCTAAACTTTAAACCTTAGACTTTGAGTGACCCTTTCTCCTACTACAGCCATTCTAGTAGCCAGATGGTGTCTCAACCTCTTTTTAGAATTAAAGTAGCAACAGTCCAGCAATTACACTATTAGGTACACAAAGAATACAAAAATACTAATTTAAAGGAATACATGCTCCCCAATGTTTATAGCAGCATTACCTACAATAACCAAATTATGGAAACAGCCCAAATGTCCATCAACTGATGAATGTATAAAGAAGAGGTGATATATATACATATATACATAATGGAATATTACTCAGCCATCAAAAAGAATGAAATCTTGCCATGTACAATAATGTAGATGGAACTAGAGTATATTCACTAAGCAAAATAAATCAGAGAAAAACAAATATGATTTCACTCATGTGGAAGTTAAGAAACAAACATGGGGGGAAAAGGAGAGAGAGGCAAACCAAGAAACACTCTTAACTGTAGAGTCTGTTGGTTACAAGAGGGGAAGTGGCTGGGGGGATGGGTTAAATAGGTGATGGGGATTAAGAAGTGCACTTGTGAGGAGCACCCAGTGTTCTATGTAAGTGATGAATCACTCTTGTACACCTGAAACTAATATTACACTGTGTTAACTAACTGGAATTTAAATAAAAACTTTAAAAATGTAGCTAACATTATGGTAGTAACTATTTTGCAATATACAAGTATATTAAATCACCACGTTGTACACCTTAAAATTACACAATGCTAAATGTCAATTATACCTCAATAAAGCTGGAAAAGAAAGAATTTAAAAGTCAAGCAAGGGACTGCATACGTAGTTCCTCCACCCTTTTGTAAAATGTCTAAATGACAGAACTTTTATTGTAAAGTGAGGTATTTCCCCATCACATATTTTAGAAAAAGACTAACACTATTCTTCATAGTGACAACACAAT